GGCTCCCCGGAAAGTAAAAAAGTCACTGACATATAGAGGAATCAGAGTGGCCGATTTTCGGGTTTCGATTTCTCCGCTCTTTCGAATCTCTTTCGATCTCGTCTCATTCGAACGAAGATTGTTTTCTTGGGTAGTATGCAAAATTTCTAGATTTTGTATAAAGCGATTGCCGAAATATTAGCAATTAAAGATTGCAAAAATATCGAAAAACGCTGTATTTTCTTCTTAGTTTTCTTGACGCCCGTAGAAAAAACTACTGGGTCTAAATAGCTCAAATTTTGAAGGTAAACCTTTCTCGTTATCAGCGAGATACTGGCAGAACTTCCGAATCGATAGGTCAAAGTTCACGGAAGTTTCCCCATTATGCCAATTCAGTTTTACGGCTTAATTTTATGCTTATAAGAATAAAATTGCATGGAAACAAATGAATTTTATTCAAAATGTTACTCAAAATTACAAAAACTCAAATTTCTGCCAATTAAAAGTTTTTATAACGATTTTACTAAACGGCGTTCAATAATATGATGTTAATTTAAAACATATTTTAATATAAACATAAATGATGTCATCGTTTCGTTATATTAGATTTTCAATTCATGTTACTGTTAACTGGATTGTATACGCAAAGAATGAGAATGATCCGCGAAAATCCGTCTTCTCAGCGACAGGAAGGAGCAAAAATCTCGAAATTCAGTGAAAATTCAAACGTTTTACATTGAATTTCGTGGCGACACAACAATAAAACTCTAACAATTTGTTGCGAGCGGTTGGATTTTCTGTTCCTGCATTCAAAACTGGTTTATTTCAAGCCTTTTTTGAGTTTTGCATCATTTGCAGCGATTTTATCAGTAAGTTCAAACCACAAACTTTCTAAATTTATATATTTTTGAACATTATTAAGCCGAATATCACAATTAGTGGCAATGATTTTCCGACAAAGCTCCATTTAAATAAGAATTGATGGTTTTGGTCATAGAGACGACGAACGGGGTCTTTCCACTTATTTTGAAAGATACTTTTCACCCTTTTTATAGTTAAATTTCGTTAAGCCCAAATCCAATGGAATTGTTAAAGATTTGTAATTGTTAAGGAAGGCCAAACGGCCGGACGATAGTGAGATTTATAGATCTACAATAGGTTCAAATTGCAGCCCAACATCAATATAAAAATAACAGTTACAGAAGATTCTACTATTGCTCAATTTAAGTCGAATCGACTTAGTTTATGAGCGTCTTCGAACATCCTAACTCTAACAAAATGGATTACACCTCATCTCTGTGGGCGTGAGGGAAAGACTACAGACAAAAAGCAGAATGGTCCGTTTCTACAGAAAGACAGAAAATCGAAGTTTTTAGCATTAAACTGAGTCGCGACGAAACAATAAAATTTCGACAATTGTTGTTACTTTGTTCGAATGCGATTGTTTCGAGTATTTTCTGAGTTTTGCTGTGGTTATTGCGAGTATTTTGAGTAAGTTTAGTCCCTCGTCTTTCTAGATTTAGGTATTTTTTAACATTGTTAGGTACTAAATCACAGTTAGCAGCGATAATTTTCCCACAACGAATATTTCGGTAAAAATCGTGTGGTTTCTTCAAAGAGAAGAAACGAACCTTTGACTTATTTTGGAAAAGTGCATTCAATCTTTTCATTGTTAATTTTCGTCAATCGAATCGAATTGTTAAAGCAAACTCGAATAATAAATTCTGTCGTTTCACGTTATAGTTGTAAGATAGCAGAAATTCTTATATTAGAAATAGTCTTTAATAATAACATTTCACGAATTACTCAACAACTGTTGTTCTTACCTACCTGAGAAAGTCTCCCGTTACATTTTCTCGAAAGCAACATGACGCTTTCTCGTGAACTATTAACCTCTGCACGTCCAAAATCGTCCGTGAATATCATCAGAGACGGCCGAAAAGAGTTAGTCGCCGTTTTAGTCTTCGGAGATTAAAGTTGTCGTTCTCCCTTCAATCATCGTCCATCTAATCGTTACCGAATTAATCGTCGCCCATAGGATAACCTTTTTGTGTGTGTGTGTGTTAGTGCACGATCGCCTGAATAACTAAAAATATCTATCAGAACTGGATATCTCCTGAAAAAACCCATAAGAAGATCTTGTTCTCCAATTCAACAAGACCCGACCGAGATATCTATTTCCAAAGGTATTTATCACCCCGCGAATCGTATGTGAACTCTCTCTCTCCGCGACAACACTTTATCCCATTGATTTTTAAATAAACCATTGTTAATTGTTAAGTGTATCTGAGTCACTTCCAATGTTGTCTCTCGAATCGACATTACGAATCCGTCTGACCACGTACAGAACCGCTCGCTCGGTTTCCGTGTTTTGAGAAACACGGTGGTGTCAATCCTGACAGGGCACCAAGGAGGTGCCGACCGAAAAGTCACATAATTTTGTGTGTGTATATTACATATGCATACACATTACATCCCATATGACATTATTATAATCAATCTGACCTTTAATGAATTAGAATAAACGAGTTTATTCGTCATTAAAACTAATGAAAATATTCTAGAAGAAATTAATGACAATCAACAGAATAGCATAAGTTTTATAAACCACAGAACTGTTATTATTATATTTAATACATAATAATTGAATGAATAATTTTAACGTTTTCGTTTATTATTCCATTACAACATTATATTCATTTGTAATTAGAATTTTTCTTATACTTAAAACGACTATTTTCTATCGTATTTATGTTATTAAAGTAGTATAATAGTATAATAATAGTATAATAGTATAAAGTATAATAGTAAAATATCAAGTAGTTAAGTATTATAGTCGTACAGTAATCAGTAAGTACTCCTGTACATTATAAAAAATAAAACAACCATGTGTGGAACCCGTGCTCGAGAAGCCGAGGAGTTCGACGAATGCATCAAGGCGACTTTCGATGCCTTAGATACAAGCCGGAATCTTAAAAAAGAAATTAAAGATAGCATCGTGGCGAATCTTGAGACCGTTCAGGACATGTTCATGTCCCTCCTCGAAAGATTCGAGTCGTTGAAACTACAAAAAACCACTAAATCGCTAAGCCTATCTCCTGCAACTTCATCTCAATCAACTTCAATATTCATTTCATTTTTTAATATTGTCTTAATTTAACGCTCGTTCTACAATATTTAATACTCGTTTGTTTTTCGTTTGCAGAATGGATAATTTCAAAGCTTTAAAGAAATGGAATACCTCTGGAGGAGAGAGTGCAGAGGATAGCTCCTCGACATCAGGAGCGTCTTCCTCTTCGATTCGAGTGATTCGCGTGCGTCCGAAAGAAGTGCTGGAGGGTGCAAAAAAGAAATCTGGTGAACCTGACAAGAAACGGGTGATTGTCATTATTCCCGATGAGAGCACGTCGTCTGTCATCGATTACCTGGAACAGAGATATCCAGAAGTTCCGGAATGGTCGGTGCAGAGACAGTTTCTTTGTTAACTTTTTACGTGTATAAAACGATAAGATTTCTGAAATCATACACGATAATTTTGCATCTACTAATATGTAAATCTGTAATAAAATAATAAATATAAATAAATAGTTGTGACATGTTCTAAACATAGAAAAAGTACTAAATTTTAGAATTATTTTCTCATTAACTTCAGAAAGTGTATACATGTTCTTATGCGTGCAGATAAATATGCCTGCACGCATGAATAAGGTCGTGGACAGAGCTGGCTCATGGAGTGGATACTGACCCTCTCCCCTCCATCTGTGTCGTTAAGTAATTTCATTTTGTTTACAAGTTGTTGAACATGCTTTGTTTTGCTTTCGGTGTACAATTGCCATGTTCTATTAACGAATCATAAAACTTGTGACTATTTGCCATGTTCTGTTAACGACTTGTTTGTAACTTGAGTTAATAAATGCAATTACTCATATGTAATCTGTGTGTTTTTCGAACAAGTCGTGACAACTTTGCACAATTAAACGTTATAACATTTATTTCTTCTTTGTCCTTATATCTCGCACAAAATGAAGTCCATGCTAAAAATTAAAACTTTTCAAAGATATTGTTTAAAACTTGGAGAAGAGACCTATAATGGGTTTAAAATAATACAAGAAACATGGATTCCCATTGTAATACCTGTTAATTTAGAAAATGAAAAAAAAAAAAATTCGATTTAAAACCGAAGACGGAAAGTGGATTTCTTTAAAAAAAAATGGTAATTATTTTTTTTATATTTTACTAAAAATTAATTTTTAAATATATAATATCTGTTTTAGTTAGCTTTAAAAAACTTATCAATTTCTAGATTATCCCCATCCGTACTGGACGTACGAAAATATATATGACATATTCAAGTATGTTGACAACTTACCTCTAAACCCACATTCATATATTTATGCAAAATTAGAAATATTTGAGTTTAAAAAATATGAAATTTATTGGGGGAGTAAAACTTTCTTTAAACAAAAAAATAAACTGATTTGTGGAACGTTAGGATTACTTCGAAAAACCGAAGACAATTGGGCTGTTATAGATTACAAAGGGGAAACCCTTATTTTATTTCTTGATGGTAAGGATCTTTTTTTCAAAAATTTTAAATATATTTGTTTAGTTTTTTTAAAACGATTTAATATTTTTTAGAAATGGACATGGTAGATTAACCCTGCGTTAGTGCAGTGGGGCTTTTCAACACCCCAAACGTTTTAAAAGTTGCACTATTCGTAGATTTCGCAAGAAATATTTGTGTCTTTCTCAGTAGCTTCATGATTTTATGTATAGAGCATGCTCAGTAATTGTTACAGTGTTGCGGCAACTCCTGTTAGAGTAAAACAACTTTTCTCCACCAGGGGTGTGTAAACACCCCAATGCACTAACCAACGATCTGCTCAAAATTAATTAATATTTCTTTAGTTTTTTTTTTATTTTTAAAATAAATATAATTTGAATACATTTATTATTTATAATATAAATCGACTTTTTATTCTTATTTATTATTATAAGTTTTATTTACTTACAAATTCAAAATGGCTGACTTCCATAAACAGACTGAGAGGATTCGGAAGTTTTTGTCTGAAGTTGAAGTTGCAAGTGATGCAGAAGATGACAGTGATGATAAGGAAGATTTTGTTGAGGAAGATGAACATTTTTCTGACTCTTATAGCTATGAGTCAGAGACTGATGTTTTACCACAAAAACCCCAACGAAAACAATCCAAGAAGGAAGGGTGGTTAGGAAAAGATCAAAAAACATGGTGGGAGAGTAAAGTACCTAGTTCATTAGTTCGTGCTCGTTCTCATAACGTATTCCGGGGGAGACAAGGTCGGAAAGGCCCTGCACTAAAGGCGCAGTCTCCTACTGATTTTTGGTGCCTCTTTATTACTCCTGAAATATTAGATTTATTGGTTGACAAGACTAACGAGTTTATCAGTGATAGGAGACCTAATTTTGATGTGACAAGCAGAGCCAGGGATACTGACATTGTGGAAATGAAAGCATTTCTTGGACTACTACTTTTAGCTGGCATTTATCACAGTAATAGAATGAACCTTGATGATTTGTGGAATGTCGATGGCACAGGTGTAGAGGTATTCAGATTGACAATGTCATTACAATGCTTTCGTTTCCTCTTATGCTGTATAAGATTCGATAGCAAAGTAACACGTCTTGAAAAAAGAAAAGTGGATAAGCTTGCTCCAATTAGAGACTTGTTTGAAATGTTTGTTGAGAACTGTGTGAAAAATTATTCTCCATCAAAGTTTGTTACAATTGATGAGATGCTTGTAGCTTTCAGAGGTAAATGTCCCTTCAGACAATATATACCAAGCAAACCATCCAAGTATGGAATAAAGATACAGGCAATGGCTGATGCAAAAACTTACTACGTTTGTAAAATAGAAATATATGCCGGAAAACAGCCTGATGGCCCATTCAAGGTAGATAATTCGGCCAATGGTGTAGTCTCAAGGCTTATCTCAGAGATCTCAGGATCAGGTAGGAACGTCACATTTGACAATGATTCTTTCCCGCTAGTCAAAATGCTAATGGAAGTCCATAAATTAAGTTCGGTGGGCACACTTCGAAAAAACAAGCGCGAAATTCCTAAAGAATTCTTAGATATGAAGAACAGATGTAATTATGACAGTATGTTTGGTTTCACAGGCGGAATTACACTGGTTTCATACATCCCGCAGACTAAAAAAAAGAAAAATGTTGTTGTTCTCAGCAGTATGCACTATGACAACAAAATTGATCCAAATTCTGGTGATAAAAAAAACCAGAAATTATTACCTTTTACAATGCAACTAAAGGAGGTGTTGATATGGTCGACCAGATGGCAGCCATGTATGACACTTCAAGAAATAGCCGTCGTTGGCCCATGACTGTTTTCTATACTCTTCTAAACATTTCAAATATAAATTCCTACATCTTATACCTACACTACCGAACTACTCAGGATAAACTAAGCCGACGCAGCTTCATCAAAAAAGTGGCTATGCAACTTATAGAGGATAATCTGAAGAAGAGAATGCAAAACATACATGTGAGTAAAAATATCAGGGAAGGAATAAAAAGAATATTGCCAACATGTCCAATGCCCTGCCAGCCTCACACACCGAACAGGGCAAAGAGATGTGCATTCTGTCCCAGGTCACGCGATCATAAAGTAAAAACAGTTTGTAGCGAGTGCGGTAAATATGCATGTAAAGATCATAGCAAGTTGCTTGTCAGTTGTATTGAGTGCCAAAGCAAAATATCAGCTGATGAATCAAGTGACAAGGATTCTTAAAATATAATTTAAATTTCTACTATTGGTTTTATAAAAAGTTCTAATGTAATCAGTTTCAATAAATGTTGTTTTCTATTTTCTTTGTGTATTTATGTACTAATGTAATATGTAATCATACTTAGATATAATCATATGTATAATGACACATGACTTTACCAAATACATAAGTAAAACTTTATGAATTTTTACTTACATGGTTTATAGACCAAAAAAAATGCGGGGGTTGACAAAAACCCCACTGCACTACTGCCGAAAAAAAATTCAGTGCACTAACGCACGGTTAAAGAAAAAAAATGGTGAGTAAAAATATTTCTTTGGTTCTTCAGATATGTGCGGTTAAATNGTGAGATTTGTCTACCAAGAATAATTTTGGATTACAGAGACTAAAATCGTCATATTAACTAATATACAGCAAACCATTTATATATATTTTAAAATTATTTGTTTGTTCTGCAAGATTATAAATGTAATCATTAATAGTATGTTTCACCTTGATGTCATAGTCAACTTAGGAGAGTGAATAACATCTTGGTTGAGCTGCAATTTGAAAACATTGGGAACATATAATTTCCTACTGTTGTCTGTCCATCTTTTCGTCTTTCTGTCATTCCTTAATTCAGTTAAAACGTTAGATAAATGAAAGAGGAAACCAGATATAGAAACTTAAGTGCAGCAGGCCAAAATTAACTATATAGGAACTTCTAACAAAAATCATGTTAATTTAATTTTAATATTTTCTCCTGAAAGTTGTTCGATAAATATTGTTTAAAAATGTATGATGTACAGGAACAACCACTACTATTTCGAAGTGGAGCTCATGTGTTTAGAACTAAATAGATTGAAAATACAATCACAAATCGCAGTCCGGAATTATAAACATGTCATAGTAAATAATTGCTGGTTTGTAAATGTTTTCACTAATTGCTCTTTTGTTTTGAATCAAAAATATTAGAATCACTTACACTTAAAACTGGTCACGAAGTAAAACTTATAAACTTAAGAATGAGCAGTTTTTTTAAACTCGTCTCCTAGCATGGCTCTCGTCGTTGTCACTTTAAGGTAGCTTTAAACAAGAGGGAAAAGGTATTTCATAAAAAATGCGGATGTTTTTATGGACAGTACCTATGTTGTTTGTGTTATATCTATTGTATAATAGTGCAGATCGGAGAATTATAATAAGTAGTAAGCAGAAACACAAAAAGTAACAATCTCCTTTCTTTGGAAGTTATCAAAACTTGACCCCTCTTAAAACCTTTATCACTTTATAAATGATAGTTACCATACGTAAAACGCACAAGTAATTCTGAAATAAATATAATCAATAAAATCTTAAAATAAAAAAAACTGTGTAAAATTTAATGAAATTAACTCCCACTTCCCCCTCTCTTCCTTCTTGTTCTATTTGTCACAACCTCTCTCCTCCTTACATCGTGGATATCTTTTATGAACAGTCCTATACAAGGAAACGTTCACTGTATATTGTCTAATTTCCTGGTTATCAATTTGTTGTCCACAGAACACAAATGCTCTTTTCAAATATACAATTAAAAATTGTTGCAAAAAATCAATACAATATAAAATAATTTTTGTATGAGAATGTAATCAGCAAACGCCGACGATGTCATTCATATACTGAACCCAGTGCGCTTGCTTATAAAAGAATGTGCCATCCCTGCTTTAAAGCTGACTTATTGTAAGTGTTGTTCAGAGAAAAATGTCAAAATGTAGTGTTTCCCAACTTCAAATAATTTGAAAAAAATGGATTTAATTAATTTTAGGTTCTAAGATCAACGAAGACACTCTTCACACTACCAGAAAAAATTTAGCAGATATAAGTCAAAGAAATTTTTATGCCATTCAAAAGAGAATTACTTAGATTGCTTTTTTCCATAATCCAGTATTTCAACATCTTTGTGTAATTTACAACAGAAACAGATAATCATGTTCTTTATAATAAGCAATAAGGTTTTGAGTAATGGTTGCTCGAACAGCTTGAAAATTGGTTGTGAACTGATTTCATAGAGCTAAAATTTCTCATTCTAACATCACTTGCAAGCTTTTTACAATAATAAAAATTCTGTTTTAAGAATAAAAGTTATTATTAACAATGTTCGAAAGTTATCACATGTTCCACAAATGCTATATAATATGAAAATTATGAAACTTAACAAAGTCATTATACCGTTACTTTATTGATTACTGTACTTTCTCTGTGTTTCTTTACTGGGTGATATGAGCAAACTTAAATATCGTATAAACAATTGGACGTAAAATTAGGGTACGTTAACAAGCATGCTTGCATGTTGTAAGTGTAATATTAGTAAACTAGAGCTGCTGTTTTTAGAGTAAGCTATCGAAGCTTGAAAAAAAGTTAAGAGTAAAAAAGTGGAGTTGATTGATCAGAGGATTAAGTGACCCTGGCAATATCTTAAGGCAAGAGCATGGTAATTATAAAAGTAAAGCGAGTAGCGACCGTTCCATATAAACAGTACACTAGACACTTTCACATAAATTGTTATTAGTTGGTCTGGAATGTACTTTATCTCTCAAATAATATATTATCTCGGTGAGAAATTGATATTCGATTACACCATTTTGTTCACGACGTATTTTAGGAACTTAACTATGATATATATTGAGGTCGTTCTGTATTTAATAATAACAGATGAAGTTTGATGTAAAAATCTAGTGCTTTATATCAGAAGTGACGGTAATGGCTCCCCGGAAAGTAAAAAAGTCACTGACATATAGAGGAATCAGAGTGGCCGATTTTCGGGTTTCGATTTCTCCGCTCTTTCGAATCTCTTTCGATCTCGTCTCATTCGAACGAAGATTGTTTTCTTGGGTAGTATGCAAAATTTCTAGATTTTGTATAAAGCGATTGCCGAAATATTAGCAATTAAAGATTGCAAAAATATCGAAAAACGCTGTATTTTCTTCTTAGTTTTCTTGACGCCCGTAGAAAAAACTACTGGGTCTAAATAGCTCAAATTTTGAAGGTAAACCTTTCTCGTTATCAGCGAGATACTGGCAGAACTTCCGAATCGATAGGTCAAAGTTCACGGAAGTTTCCCCATTATGCCAATTCAGTTTTACGGCTTAATTTTATGCTTATAAGAATAAAATTGCATGGAAACAAATGAATTTTATTCAAAATGTTACTCAAAATTACAAAAACTCAAATTTCTGCCAATTAAAAGTTTTTATAACGATTTTACTAAACGGCGTTCAATAATATGATGTTAATTTAAAACATATTTTAATATAAACATAAATGATGTCATCGTTTCGTTATATTAGATTTTCAATTCATGTTACTGTTAACTGGATTGTATACGCAAAGAATGAGAATGATCCGCGAAAATCCGTCTTCTCAGCGACAGGAAGGAGCAAAAATCTCGAAATTCAGTGAAAATTCAAACGTTTTACATTGAATTTCGTGGCGACACAACAATAAAACTCTAACAATTTGTTGCGAGCGGTTGGATTTTCTGTTCCTGCATTCAAAACTGGTTTATTTCAAGCCTTTTTTGAGTTTTGCATCATTTGCAGCGATTTTATCAGTAAGTTCAAACCACAAACTTTCTAAATTTATATATTTTTGAACATTATTAAGCCGAATATCACAATTAGTGGCAATGATTTTCCGACAAAGCTCCATTTAAATAAGAATTGATGGTTTTGGTCATAGAGACGACGAACGGGGTCTTTCCACTTATTTTGAAAGATACTTTTCACCCTTTTTATAGTTAAATTTCGTTAAGCCCAAATCCAATGGAATTGTTAAAGATTTGTAATTGTTAAGGAAGGCCAAACAGCCGGACGATAGTGAGATTTATAGATCTACAATAGGTTCAAATTGCAGCCCAACATCAATATAAAAATAACAGTTACAGAAGATTCTACTATTGCTCAATTTAAGTCGAATCGACTTAGTTTATGAGCGTCTTCGAACATCCTAACTCTAACAAAATGGATTACACCTCATCTCTGTGGGCGTGAGGGAAAGACTACAGACAAAAAGCAGAATGGTCCGTTTCTACAGAAAGACAGAAAATCGAAGTTTTTAGCATTAAACTGAGTCGCGACGAAACAATAAAATTTCGACAATTGTTGTTACTTTGTTCGAATGCGATTGTTTCGAGTATTTTCTGAGTTTTGCTGTGGTTATTGCGAGTATTTTGAGTAAGTTTAGTCCCTCGTCTTTCTAGATTTAGGTATTTTTTAACATTGTTAGGTACTAAATCACAGTTAGCAGCGATAATTTTCCCACAACGAATATTTCGGTAAAAATCGTGTGGTTTCTTCAAAGAGAAGAAACGAACCTTTGACTTATTTTGGAAAAGTGCATTCAATCTTTTCATTGTTAATTTTCGTCAATCGAATCGAATTGTTAAAGCAAACTCGAATAATAAATTCTGTCGTTTCACGTTATAGTTGTAAGATAGCAGAAATTCTTATATTAGAAATAGTCTTTAATAATAACATTTCACGAATTACTCAACAACTGTTGTTCTTACCTACCTGAGAAAGTCTCCCGTTACATTTTCTCGAAAGCAACATGACGCTTTCTCGTGAACTATTAACCTCTGC